TATGGGTGAGTAGAACATGATGGAATAACGTAAAATTAAGGGCCCAATGTAAAAAAAACAAAACGGCGTTCCCCTTTAAGCTAGTGAGGTCATTGGTACTCATCTGAAATTGTTCTTCTAAATGAAACTTATCAGGTTCATTTTTGTCTGCTTAACAACTTACTACATTTTGGGTAAATATTTTTATTCTAGGCCAAATCAAATACAGATTATTTAAGAAGTTCATTCACATAAAACTGTTCTTTTTACCAAAATGTTTTTCTTTACTTCTAATAGTGTAGAAATGTGATTAGCACAGATGAAGCTGTGAAAATATAGACACCTGGAAATCAGTTTCTTTATCTAATAGCTGCTCTACTGTAATGAAAGAGGAGCAGATGTGCTGAAAAACATTGTTTTTCATTGGAGTTTATCAAAAATGCATTTTTATTAATCGCTACATTTGCATCCAAATGACCCCTAGTTTTAAAAACCTGTTAACAGGTTCAGGACGGAAAAGTATTTCTGTGAACTAATGCTTTGCTAAATGTAACAGGAAACCCACAATAACAAGCGGCCCCTCATGCATCTGCAGAGGTGATTCTGCAAAGAAACCGAATCTGCAGATAAACACGAACTTACTGACCGCAGTTCATCATCAATGATTTTAGAGATAAACAGATTAGGACAGACTGGCTGCAGCCCAGTCAGATGTTAGATTGATAATAGCGGGGATAACTCAAATGCAGCTTGGACACCTGTGAGGAAATGACTGCCATGTTTTTATGGTGACCAGTTTAACATTAACTCTGGATCCAGGATGCATTGGTGCTGCTGGCAGCAGACTGAGTCAAACCAGAAACAGTGATAGAGATAGTCACCATGCATTGACCGATGCAGCAGTTAGTTACCATGGTAACTGATAGCACTCTGGTGATATTGATGGGAGGGATGTAGTCCTGCTTCTTTGGTGTTAAAACATGTGACAGCTGAAGCTCATGTTCCAGGGGCTGTTTAAACCTTTAAAGAGGCCTTATGGAGTTTTCTAATGATACTGCCACCTGTGGCCAAAACACAGAACTGCAGCTCTCTTCTGACAGTTCTCTTAGCTCATGCTCATATTTTACAAGATTATTTTAATACACCTTATGTGAAGTTGCCTTTCGTGTCTGATTTGAGCTTGATTTCGCTTCTGAGTATAAGAGAAAATCCACGTTGAATAAAATGTCCATTACACTAGTACGGACTCGTTTTCTCACCAAGTACGTTCTTGACTAGAACCCAGGAAAGTCTGGACTCGGGGAGAACGGGAGTACGCAGCATAGATCTGGGTCAACTGGAACAGAAGCGTACTGATGACATCATCACATTCAAAGCTAGTCTGGAGCTGCATTTCNTAAACCTTGAGAAAGAATTTGGCTTATTATGTATTAAGTATTCCTTGTATGCAAAACACTTCTCACTCAGACATTTTGTGGCCTTGCAGGTGAAACAGACTGAGTAAAAACATTTTTTGGTGGGTAAATGGCATATCTCAATATATGAAATAAGAGCGATCGAAATTTACCGACCACAGTTCCACCCTTTGGATTATAAAAGGAAATTATCCTTTTGTAATCAATGAAAAAAAGGCCAAATTAATGAATATATGTAAAGAAAACTAATAACTAAGAAACTTAAAAGTAACTATTAATTAAAAAATATCAAAAATGCACATCTTTAATCAAGCCAGTGATAATTGATTACAATAGCTGGAAAAATAATGGAAAAGATGATACCTTAAATATGTTGCCAATAAATAGAGCCCTGGAATCACATCCTAGTTGGAAAAAAATACATTTATCAGTTACCCTTTTTGTTTCCCTGGAAAAAGAAAAGGTGAAATCAGTTGAGAAACAGACTCTTTCATGTGTACAAAGTATAAGTCAAATTATAACCTGAGCTCCTAAACGCAACAAACTTTATTATGAGTAAAAAAAAAGATCAATCTCATTGCAAAATGTTAAAATCATAACAGAAAGATGTTTCACACAAGTTCAGCTCTTTGGAATCTGGGTCAGTCAAAGCACACATCTGAAAAGGTAAAGGTTTAATATCAGTGCTCCTCTTCCCCAATGGTAGCTGAGATGAACTTTCTACAATCATATTTCTTACCAATTTCTTAAAAATTGAAACATTAAACATGCTGGTTAGATCAATTTAATGAGACCAAAGGAAACAATAATTGTTGATGGTAAAATAATTTTGTAGTCCCTATTTATAATTTCATGTAAGGGTCCTGAACTTAATGGTAAATACAGCACCGATTCCTTTAATCCTAACGAACCTGAGATCATCTCAATAAAACTGATGAATCAATTCAGAGAAGATTTAGGACGGACTTCAATAGAAGTGGATAAGAGTGGACCTGTTTATTTCCTGAGATGCTTTTGCTGCATAAATGTTCTGATTGAACGTGAGGTCAATCTGAGTCTTTAGGTTCTTCAAAGAAATTCCTCAACCAGAACAGGAATGTGAGTAAGGCGGCAAAAATGCTGACAGCTCCATCCGTCTGAGCGAAACTGTTCATCAGTGGAGAACAGAGATCTTCTCAGCATCTGTCACTGCGTTGTGGCGAGTATAGTGTTTCAGCAGTTGGCACCATGTCTTACTGAGTCTGAGTAGTCCTTGGTTCCCTTCCAAGAAGAAGAAGAGAACCGTCATTGTGGTCTAAACTTTTGACACCTGAAGTGAAGTCAATGAATCGATGCAATCAGCTGGTTTTCCTTAGATAGAAAACTTTGAATCAATCTGACTGGATGATCTGGTGAACTGGAAAGTATCTTGAGATGACATGATGTGAATTGAAGCTAAAGAAATAAACTGAATTGAATTGAATTAAATTGAGTAAACCTGATGCCCGATTTATCCTTCACACTGAATCGGTCCTGAAACTGTTGCAGACCACATGTTACCTCTGACACATCCACATGCCCAGTTTAGAGGAAAGAGAGAAATTGACACAGATGGTGAGAAGTTTAAACACCTAAACACAGTGAACACAGTTTTGCGTCCGATCTGACAGAGAAACAGGTCTAAGAGGTCGTGGCGTTTAGCGCTCACTGAGAGTCAATAGGGATGAACACCCAACACACACCCGACTTTCTGCATGGTGCTCAAATAACTGTGATTGAGATAGACCCCAGGTCTATTTTAGTTGGGCTATGCAGCAGTACAGTGGTAATGTCATGGGTCTGACAGGAAAAGGGACGCGGTTACAAAGTAAAACACATCCGCATTGGGGGAAAATACAAAATAAAATCTGTTAATTGCACGGAAAAGTCAGGATTGGCAAGCAGGAGGGGCAGACAATAAAATTTTTAATAAACAAAACTTTGCCCATGATAACAGTTCAGAAAACAGATAAAGTAGTGATGACTTTGAGCCCCCAAAAAACAATGAGTACGTGAAAGATGGCAAATCATTCTTCCCTCTTTTTGAAAAACAAAACTGTCCTGTTCTCCCTCTGAGAATCACGCCTCACTGCATACATACATAACCCTATCTCCCTGCTGTCATGATCTTGGCGCTGATGACTAGGTTAATTATTCATTTTATTCACCTGTCTAACTCTTATCGGTTTTTCATTACTGTTCATCTGATGCACCTGCTCCTGCCTCTATTTAAGCTGCTTGCATACAGTCATCAGTTCCAAATGTTTTCTTGTTCTCTTGTGTCAGTGGTGAGAGTAGTTTTAGCGAACCTTAGTGTTTCTGCTTTCCTGATCCTGACCTGTTCTGCCTCTCAACCACTGAGCCTGACCTGGCTTCAGATTCCTGCAAAGTTTCCTAGCCCTAACCACACTTCCCCCATACCCCCCCAATCCCAATCCCCAACATCCCACACCCCCCTCCCCATTTCCCCCTTCAGTATCTATCATATTCTCGCTCACAACACATCTATCTCTGCCTGATATAAGCTCTACAACACAGACAGGGACCAATCACTTAGTTAAGTTAAGAGGATGAAGTAAAACCAGGCAGGATTTTTACCCTCTGGACCTGGATTATCCTTCTCTGCCCAGCGATCCCTAACTTTCCTCTCAGCGTTGAACTGGCTCAGACCAAATTCTGCAGGAGCTTAGTTCTGCATCCCAGACAGCAGGTTCTTGGTTCCTTACCAATGATGCACAGTCCCTCCTTGGCTCTGGTAATGGCTACGTTTATCTGGTGGGGGTCTCCTACAAAGCCGACATGTTTGGACATCCAGGCGCCGTCATGCTCTATTTCAAGCTCAGTGCTGGGAACGGAGATGACCGTGGAGACAATCACGTAGCGCCACTCGCTCCCTAAGAGAAAAAAGAGGTTAGATCTGGATCTACTAGACACACCCAGTTCCACTGAGGTAGTACACCACTTCATCTCTGACTTTGGATCAGACCTATTCTGACAGAAGAGACAGAGGGGTTAGGGTTAGGGTCAGATCCAGGAGGAGCATTTACCTTGGCTTTTTGAGATGGTGGTCACTGTTACTTTCTCCAGTTTTATTTTCTTCAGCTCTTCCTTGATCTCAGCTACTTGGGCGTTATAAGGAGACAGAACAACAATACTCTCCTGATCCACTTTGGCCTTATTCACAAGCATTTGAGCAATTTGTGTCTGAAAGAAGAAAAAGGTAGAAAATATAGATTCTATAATGTCAAACGTTTTTGCTAAGGAGTCATGTTGGGTTTAAAGGATCTTCTGGAGTTGATCCTTTACCTTAACTCCCCAGTTACCAGTAACCCATCCTGTGTCTACATGCTCCTTCAGGAGGGGTGATTGCTGAAAGTGAATGACTTGATACAAGAAAACATTTTAATCCTATCTTTCTTGATGTTTGACTTAACTGACTCCGTTAAATGACTTGAAATAATAACCAAAGAACATGCAGCTTTCCTAGGATGAAATCCCCTACTCAAACCACTACACCACACTTCCTGTCAGGTTAGCAATAACTGGACACGTTATACACACGGCTATGAATCCAGATGAAGCTAACCTAGTCGAAAGTAGTACTTTGATTGTCAAATCTTACTGGAATACAAGTAAGAGTTACTTGGTCAAACATCTACAAGTTAAAGGATTGAAGTACTCACTTTTGGAAATACTTAAGTATTCAAAAGTACAAATAAAATGTCTAATATCAGATCATTTCTGTCTCATTTTTAGAGTAATTTTAAAGAACCTGTAACTTTACCAACAGAAGCCATCTGAGGTATTGATGCATAGAACCACCTGCTACAGATTCTACGCCACCTGAAAAGAACTTCAGCATAAAAAGGCCACAATAATAAAGACAGATATTATGATTCTTATTTCTTATGTAAAATCAAACAAAAGAGAAAACAGGAGAGTCTTAATTCTCCTCATTCTTTCACTGTGAAATAAATGTTAAAGGTTGAATCTATTATCACAGAGAAACTATGACTCTGCATTGAGGACTCATTCTACTGAGCAACTCTGTCACATGGCAACAATTAAAACCTTAATAAAAGTATCAACTACAAATAATATCAACCCCGAGTTTCTCACACATTTGTGGAACTATTCTTTGAAAAGCATAGTAATAATAATAATAATATTTTTTAAAGCAGTTAATGATTCCAACAAGCAAACTCATATTATAATTACCTTAAAATATATTCTGATGGTTCAAAGAATTTAAAAGGGTGTGT